TCGGCTGGTCCTTGACGTCCTCCTCCTCGTCGTCCTGGCTGTCGTCTTCGGAGTCGGAAGGGGGAAGCCCTTTCGCGTTTCGCACGTTTTCGAGGAGACGGGCGCGGAGTTCGTCGCGTTTGCCTTCGACCGATAGTTCGCGTTCGGTCAGTGCCTTTACCAGCTCCTCCTTGGAGAGAGCGTGTACCCACCCGGTGGCGGTCGGTGTCGCCATGTCGGCGCGGATTTACAATTCTCTAAATATCGTCGCTGGTCTCGCTTTTCCGCAATCTAGCTCTCCTACTTTTCGAGTCCCTGTTCGGGCGCCATTTGTGACCGTTTGAATCTGTTAAACCTGTGCAGCGGATAGCCGCGGGAATTCTAGGGTCCGGCGGTGGGTGTCTCGAAAAGAGAGAGAGAGAGAGAGTCGGTTTTAGATCTTAACTACCGAATTATATTTTAAAACTTAGGATTACATTAACTGCTTACAACTAACTTATTGCTAACTTATAACTACCCTTATAACTACGGCCGTTCTGACGGCGGTTCGCTATTTTATAATCTAGCGCTGGGGCGCTTTGAGATCTGTGCGCGCGACGGCGATCGATTGGTCGATAGGTCGGCGGCGGCGCGGTATTGGCGGCTCGGTTCGGTGCGTTCGTACGCGGTTCGGTCTGCTCGGACTCGGCGCGGCGCGGCGGTTCGGCGCGGACGGCGCAGGCGCGGTCTGCTCGCGGATGACAGCTCGTGGTCGCGGTTAGGTTAGGTTCGGTTCGGTGTCGAGCCACTCAACACGTGGCGAGGACTATAAGCTTCGCTCAGTTCGCGATAGCCTACGGAGAGGACGGCCACTCAGCACGTGGCTCGGATCGACAAGGATCTCCCGCTCAGCTCGCGGTTCTCGGGTTGACGCTCAGCACGCGTCAAGATCACAGGCGGGTCGGTGTCTCGCTCAACTCGCGAGGTTAGAGACGGTTCGGACTCAGCGCGTCGTCACCGTCGGAAGACCAGCTCAGCTCGCTGGTCGGGATCTGGTGCTCTCGGTGGATTTTCGCCGGCTTATATACCCGCCGGTTGTAGGTGCGGGACGGAGTGGTGCCGGGGGACTTGTGCGCGGTGGGGAGAGTTCTTTGTTATTAACGGCACGTTACATAATGACTCGTTGTTTGAGATAACTAAAACTTTATTATGCGTCCTGCCGCGACGATCTTCAGTACAATACTGCATGTGCCTACCGGCACGAGCGCCAATCTCTCCATGAACAAAACAAAATCGTGGGACCGATAGGTCCTCAAACTAGATGTCGCGACTAAAGCCCAACTATTACCCTTAGGGATAAAACATAAATCTGACCTGAACGGCTCTCAAACTAAAATACGCAACAGTACATATCTGTTCGAGATTCATTCCTGAATCTCGGTCAGTTCGTCACCGGCGTGATGGCAGCATCAGCCGGGTCAGATCGTGCAGCGCCACAGGAGCGCTGCGCGCGCATGCCCGATCGCGACACGAGGCGACGGCGCTTCTTCACGCTCGTTACCGGCGCTTTTGGCTCATGGCAACCGTACAACGTACAAGTGTCGTGTAGTGCTTAAGACTTTTAGTGTGCTCTCGTGGACTTTTCTCATCCGAGAAGTGACTGTGCGAACTCGAGGTGAACCCTTGGGTGCATTCGTTTACGCAGTGACTGCAGCAGATGTAGTTCGTTTACTCTGCCTGCGAAACGACTGCAGCGCAGTTTGTCGTTCGTTTACGCAGAGATGCATCCTATCTGCGCAGCTACTTCGGAGGTCCTGCTCTGGATGCTCTGCTTGCAGTACTGCGTAAGAAAACGGAAAACTGTCTGGAAAGCAAGAATTGTCCGTTAGTGCTATCCTTAATTGACAATGAATTATTTCATAAAAGTAAAAAATCAAAGAGGTGAAGATCACCTGTTAGAAATTGATCCTACAAAAATGAAATTAATGCAAGGTAAGTTATATGGAAAACTGAGCAGTTCATTATTTCATATTTACGATCACATTAACCTAAAAATCCACACCTATTAAGAAGGTAAATTGAATATAATTTGTAGCTCATGTAAAACTGAACTGAACTTTATTCTGAAACTCTGTAAATAATTTTGTCATTTTTTGTGGGTTTTATTAATTTATTTCAGGTGCAGATTCTACTGCAATTCCTGATTATAAAATAACTTCGTCTACAATCGATGTACAAGGACCGTCAGAGAAACGTGAATTTAATATTTCGATTCCGTCCTCATCACTTTCCCACAGTGTTGCACGTACACCTTTAACTTCTCCAAAGCACTTGACGTCAAAACCAACAGTCCAAGGTATGTATAATAGTTCTAGTAGAATTCAGAATGTAATAGCATAGGCCGGTATTCATAGTCAGATCTTATATTTAAGACCGTCTTAAGTTTATCTTAAGATACTGTATTATATGGATCATTTTATTGCCCATACAGCACAAGAACGTCCAGCAACATTGCAGAAACATTGCAGCAACATTGCAATGTTACTGCAATGTTGCTGCAATGTTGCTGGACGTTCTTGTGCTGTATGGGTGGTTATAAAGTCTAAAAATAACATTAATAAGATCTTAAATATAAGATCTGACTATGAATACCGGCCATAGTGTAAATTCCTGGTGTGTAATTATACTTTTTAAAATCTTGTAACAAATATTCATTTTTTATTGCACATTTCTGTTCCTTTGCACCACAATTCATAGATTTCGACAATCGTCAAGCTTTTCATTTGATTGATACAATGACAACTTCTGGACTTCCATTTGCTACTATTCCTTCTTCACTTTTGCATCCAAATCCTATGGACGATATGGAAAAACAATTGCCTGCAAAGAAATTGAAAACAGAAGCATCTTTACCACCAACAGAAAGTAAGTAATCAAGGAACTTCATTTCTATTTATTATTTTTATTATGCATGTGGGTGAAAACTGAATCAAACTTTTCTTCTATTGAACATTTAAAAAATTATGACCAAAAAAGTGAAAAAGATATAAAGAAAATCAATTTTGGAAGTCATTTTATGTCATTATGTATGGAAGTCATCATAAAATTTTCATTATATTCATGTTTTATAAATAAAATAATTTTTTATTTTAATTTCAGATGCCTCTAAAGAGAGTTGGACAGAAGCAGAAATTCAGCTTTTACTTGAACGACGTCTTAGTATGAATGATAAGTTTGAAAACCCGAACAGCCGAAAGACACCATATTGGAATTTAATTGTTAAAGCTTTTGAAGAAAAGGGTTACAAAGTAAAAG